AGACTGGGTAGATGTTGATTAATAAGTAATTAATTGGTGTCAGGGGAGAAAATTTGATAACAACTTTGAGTTTTGTTGGTCATCAATGTGGTTTGGATTGTTCGTTTCAAGCTGTTTGTTTCGTTTTCCTGGTCAAGACCGGAAATATGGCACCAGAGTTCATCTTGAAAAAAATAGAATTCTGGTAAATTTTTCATATGGGCTCACCTAATAGATTACTGAAAATAAGGTCGTTCTCTTTCAATTCGCACGTTGAGCAAGCAACAAGTGGCAGATTTCACCAACAGTTCTTTTGCTGCGTTCCTTGGAACATCCAACTTTTGTGGAATTTTAGAGGCGTTGGGAACTCAAGTGGTTACTGGCTTAATTGGTTTTGGGGTGGAAACTTGGATTTGGTCGTAAGTCCCCGTATTTGTGAGCTAACCACTCAGAATTTTCTGGAGACAAGAATCTACGCCATTTTGTTGAATTGTCGTGTGAGCAAAGAGCACGTTTTGTTCAACTAGAAGCCCGATTTGTAACCAGGTACCTACATTTAAACGTTTTTATCAATCTGAATTCACCATTTCGCTATCAATATTAAGATTAGCATATCTGTATTTTTGTAAATATTTGAGATTCAAAAAAAAAAGGGGAATTTGTCCTCCACGAGAAGAAATTTGTCAGTAAAAAAAACTCATTAGACACTTTCAAAAGGGGCATTAATGGGCTAATTAATTAAGGGGAATTATTTTCAAAACGAAACTTACGGGTTTCAGGGGATTTTCCTATATTAATTTTATAATGTATGCATTAATTACCTAGAAAATAATTGCAGATTCCTATCAATCTGGTGAATTCTACTTAATCGAGAAAAGGGGAGTTATCGCGTGTGTTCTAGATTTTACAGGAATAGATTTAGGGAAATATAAAAGGCCGCTATTGCTTTGTAGTTTTAAGTTAAAGTTTGACTGTGATACGATTTAAATAGTGATTATTGCGAGTTGTAAGAGTTTAATTGTTGAGTTAGTTACTAAAGAAATTAGTGTCAGAGTGTATTGTTAAGTGGAATAAATTATTGCTGTGTTAATTGGACTTTGATTTTTGGAATAAACGAAACGAACAACGAACCCAAGATTTCTGTCAGGCAATCCAAAGCCGTGACAATAGACCTCTTGCACTCAATCAAAATTAGGTATATAATTTATCTGTAACGAAAGTTTATTTTATGTACTACATAACAGTATGGTTGGTTAATTTTTTTAAAAATCTTGAAGCCAGAAATTGAAAGAAAAAAAAGCAGATTATTTGAATTTTGCGCTATATTTTTCCACCAATCAAAAATTACTGAATGTCAAATTTCCATGTTCCAAACGAATCTTTTTTTTTTCTTTCTGAACACATCAGACAAAAAAGGAGGCATATATTTATCAAAATCGCTTTGCGTATCGACTTTGGTACAGCTCTTCTTTTGACTTGAAACTTGAAAGAGGAGAACGACATCTATTAATTGAAGTATCGACTAGTATCAACAATTTTCTTTCCTTGTCTATAAATGCGAATTAAACAAAGAAATCGATATCTGCACTAATCCGACACAGTATAAAGTACGAAAACGATATAAGCGATTTTTGTTTACCATAGGTCAGTGACCCCTGGCTGGCCAATTTACCTATCATCACAAAATAAACAATAATTAACAACAAAAAACAGCAGGCTGGGGCTGGGGGCAGTGTAATTTGAAGAAAAAAGAAAAATTATGTTTTTGCCTGGGAAAATTTGAAAAGGTCTTTAGGGAAACTGCGAGGTATGGAATACAGACACATAAAAATTATACTCGTGTTTTATTTCCCATAAACCACTAAGAAAAATAATAATAATTTTAACAGTTAGGTAATTATTGTTTATTTTGTTTGTGCGATGGAGGATGGAAGAGTTTGTAAAAACCGATTCCGATAACTGGCCAGAGGACTTTAGATAATGCTTTTGGAAAAAATTCATATGAAGGGTAAAGTTTTTTTTTTTTTTTAAAGATAAAAGTCAAAATGACATTATGTTGGCAATGCAATGAAAAATTGTCAAATTTTTTATGTAGAAAAGGCTTGTGTTGCCAACATAGTTACTAAATTTTTGACTTGGGGAATTATCTTTAAAAAAAAAACAGGCTTTAGTTACTTGGTAGATAGGTATTAGTAAAATGCAGGTGGAGGGTGGAGTAGAGCAACCTTCTACAAATAATGATTCCCTTATATGCTTATTAGGTAGAAACCTCTAAAATTTAGAAGCACACACTAGTAAATGAGTACCTAAGGTATTCAATTATGAATGACATAATGGCCTCATGCTCGGGTTTATTGTTTGTTTCTTGATGATTTGTGTGCCTTCTCTGCCTTCTGTCTGTTTTGGAGAGGCTAATAATAAATAAATAAAAATAAATAATAAATTGAAAAGTTGGGTTAAGTTTTCCATAGGGATGAGAATCGATTTCATATCCGATATTACAAATCTGTGAATTCGATGTATCGATTTAGTTGTCGCCTCCAGGAAAAGTTTACATGAAATTCTTGACATCTGGGCAACACTGAATAAAATTAACCAATCAGACGTCACGGCACCAAGAAATTTGAACTTCAAATCGAAATTTTGCAAGTCCGAAAAAAATCTGAAAAAAATTCAGTTGAGCTTTATTTTGATTCCTCATTCCAATAAGGAAATAAAAAAAATGCATGCAAGAGTTCCATTGGAATATTATAAGTCTAAAGGGGTTCTAAGTTCTAAGAATTTGTCCTCTTTCAGGGTTTTAGGTTTTTAGATTGTACCTTTCCATTGTGTTTTTTTTTCGACGTTTTTGTGAGATGTCAGAGTACCCACAACACTGAATTGAAACCGAAATTTACCCTACAAGAAGGGAAGTCAAGAAGTTGATGGGGCCTGTTATCAGGGCTGTGAGGCTGTCATGAGACAGTAATAGAAATGGATGTTTTAGACTGCAGATGATGTACCCGTTGATTTAGTAACGTTTCTTAATTATTTTTGTTTATTATTATTAATAGTAATTCTTATAACTTGGTACATTTCCAAGTTTGTTTTACTGCCTTCATTATTATAATGGGTGTACCGCACCAATGATTTTTAATTGACTATATTTAAGGTGACATTTTTGAACAAACCCGCCCCGGTATACCATGGTATAAGCGTGCACAGGTTTTAATTAATATTGTGTGGTATTTTATGTATTGTCCTATATTGGCCTTTGGAATGCCATTGCAGTTTTTAACATACCCCCCCCCCCCCCCCCCCCCATTATATTAAATAGATTTATACTTATGTTTTATATTTGACTCTTATTTTACCCCTACTGACCTCAAACTAAGGTAAAGTTATTTTAGAGGATAGGTACATTTTTATAGGAATTTTAGAGATCAGGGACTTTCTGGTTTAAGTCCGCGGATTTTATTTTGTAAACCAGTGGCGCCCTATAAAGCTAACTTTCAATATTGAACCTACTCCCACACCAATGAGTAGCGGCTACTCGCGGTGAGCAACTTATTATTCAAACAGTTTAAGGGTTAATTTTTGCGCAACAATCTGCTGCGATTTAATGGTGGCAGCCTCTAAATCTCTAAAATCAACTGATTCAGTCAATCTTCGCCCGCGACGTTCACTCCTTGGCGTTATTTTGGCGCTATCAATTATTTCATCTCGCTTTTGATTTATTGGAGAAATTCGAACCTGTATTCGTTTTCTATGCATGCCATATGTTTGTTGATAGAATAAAGCTTTGCTTTCATGTAGTGAAAAATCAGGGGAATTTTTATCTAAATAGTATCGCCTTTTTGAGTCGTCTTGGAAAAAATGCGCTTTTTGTTTTTGGTGAAAGTGTCTCTGTAACCACACAAGAGCATTTTCTTCCCAATAGGAAATAACGGTTTGCTGGTCCTCTTGGGTAGGCTGGCCATTGACAAATCTTATCTTTATTCCTGCAGTTTTTTCACTCATTGTCCGATTTCGATGAGCAGTTCGTCTCCGACAATCTACATTTTTTCTAGTAACAAGGAATCAGCCAGATATCTTAACCCCCTATCAGAAGAACAAGATAATTTGTGGTCGAAGTTCACGTTCCCTAACCTTTGATGAGTCAACATCCAGGTACATGGCAGCAACTTCTTCGCCGTTTTGTTTCCAAATTGATGTTAATTGGAATAGCCTTGTGTTAACAGGATTCTTTTGTTTCTGGACTAAAAAAGGAAATTTTACTTTTTTTATTGAGATCGGCCTCTTGTTTCCCTGAAGCTTCAGTAGTTGCGTTGAAAATATCATTTTTCATGTTCCTCCATTTCGCGTCTACTTTTTCTTCTCTGTTGTTTCTGTTTCTGTTAACCAATTTTCGAATAACCATTACACACTCTCGTCTTCCTAGGATTCCTAGGGTTCAATATTATATTTGTGTATGTAATGTGTGTGAAGTTTTGGTGTGATGACGATGTTCAATCTCATTTGACAAAGTAAGTAACAGCGTCTGATCGCTGTCCACATTGACTCCAATAAAGATTCAAGAACATTATCACCTGTAAAGTGATACTCCTATTTGTGATTATCTGCTTTTGTAGATCAAGTTCGGATTTAAAAATTATCTTGACGTTTCTGGAAAATCTTTGAATATTTCGAAAAGATGGGTCCCATAGAGGCCAACCTGCTTGCCAAGGGATTGAGCTCCCACTCTAGTAGAGAACACATTACTAATGGTAATGTAATAAATTATTATTATCGAAGTTTTTATACAGTTAGTTCAATATTCTATAGATGCATATATCGTAAACACTACAAGGAACAAGGAAAAAACGAGCTCTAATAGATTCTTCAATGCCATAAAAACATTTTTCCCACTAACACTTCAATACGACAATCTTAATTTTATCTTATTCCGACAATTCCTGACCATATAATCAAACGTCAAAACATTTCTTTGGCTTGACGCCGCTGCCTCGAAGCGCTTCAAATTTAAAAGTCCATCATCCATCGGATCGGGACGGTCAAAGCCGCGAACCAAACGAAGATTGAGAAAACTCTTCCGTTCCGTCAGTCGCTTCTGATTCTTCAATACTCGCGGTACCTGCGCGACTTTAATTGAATCAAACGTTACGCGATGCGTACGATCAAGTAGCAAGTGACATTTGTGAGGATTTTGATTTTTGATTTTTTTGTTTGGTGATATTGGTTGAAAGGAACTATGATTTTGAATATTGAGAAGAGGTAATTTATTTTGTTACTTATTATATTTTTATTTTGTGAAATTGGTGGATCAAGATAGGTTTATAGAAGAATTGACTTTCAGCGAAAGACATTGATGATCTAAATTGAAACAATTTTTGCTAATTATTTGGACACTAGTACACTGTTGCTCTAAAGCAACAGTATGATATCAATAATTTCTCAATTGAACCCAAACACTTTAAATTTTCACGTCTTCAAACCTCCCATAATTTGATATTGATCAACAATTACAAGGTCATGGTTTAAAACTGACGAGTTCCAAAGCTACTCTGCCGTACTAAGCGCAGAAGCGGTAACTAACATAATGACTATACCTAGATATTAGTACTTTTATATTAATAGATCTGCCAACTCAGCTTGGTGACATTTTGGTTCCAAAATTTGTAAAGCAACTTTATTGAAAATTGCTAGTCTAATGACTATGGAATCACATGAAATTAAATGTATTCATTAATTAGAATGTAGATACCGCTTTTTTATGCATTTTTTCATAGTAATTTACTAAAACATTTTGACGTATCTACTAACCTCAGTAGGAAGTTAGTAGTGAAGTGCTTGCACAGCATAAAATTGAATATGAAAAATAATAGAATTTAAATAAAAAACAGTATAGTTTATAAGTACATTTACTAAACCTTTCAAAATAGTAGGTACATAGAAAATATGAAACTAACTATCGTTCTTACAAAAAAAAAGTGTTTCAAAAATTATCTTCGTCCTCGACAGGCTCACCGTTCGCTAATGGAATATTCTCCCAAAATTGAATTCTGTTACTGGGTATTATGCTTGAGGCTCCTTTGATAAGATTAACAATCCCGTTACGTCTTTCACCGGAAATGCCCCTAAACGTTGACTGCTGACTGGGATTTGGAATACCAGATTTTAAAATTTTTGCATTTAAAAAATTGAGCGGTAAAAGTTCCCCTTCATAGTCATTTTTATAATATAAAATCATTTCACCTCTTCTAGCAACAATTTGAACTATATCGTGTAAATAAACCTTTTCCTGTTTCAATTTGAACTTGGAACTAAAATCTTTCCAGTCAAAAAAGTCTGTAAGTTCCATCTCTAGGACATTTACTCTAGAAGAATTGGCATTTGAAACTGCCTTTTTGAAATCATTAAAGTCATAGATTTTTTTAAACTTTCTCATGGATTGTTCCACCTGGTGGTGGAACGAATCCGCCGACATAAAAGTATGCCCGGGCTCAAAGTAGTTTATAACAATTTCTGTAGCAACAACATTTAACGAATTTACAATATAAACTAGGAAGGTGAGGAATGCCCAGTTTTTATTTTGAGCCGTGCAGTTATCTAACCAGAGTACTATTTTGATTCTGTCTCTATGTTCCAAAAAGAATTTATAGAAAGTGCTGATTATATCCTCTTTTTTACGCCCTCTTATTGCTTCATGCCAAATTGTAGCCGTCGGTCTTAAATTTTTATTCTTTGATCCCACTGGCACAAAACTTTCATTGTAAGCAACTAATCTGCCGGTAAATATAACACTCTTGAACATCTCGCACCTGGGTAGCATTATGACTTTTTGTAAATCCACAGAAAAAATAACCTCGGCTTCTGATTCAGGTTTTCCAGCATCAATTCTGTAACTAATTCTAGCTAATTCTGCTTTTTTAATGTGAATTCTCCACTTCTCGCAGGTATCACAATCTGGAATTAAATTATTTTTGTCATGGTCATGTATATTGAAATGTTCACAATGTTCACATTCTTCATGACCTAATTTGACAAATGATATATTACGTTTACGCAAAACAGATCGGTATAAATCATAGGAACAAAAATTCGGGTTTTTTGAATTAAAGTCATCATACAAAACTTGAGCGGATAGATCACTGGGCAAGTATTTGCGAAGAGGAGCGTGTTCGCGTCGATAATGTGAAATTCTTGGCATGAAGGATTCAATGTGTTGAATAACTACCTCAAGATTTTTTTTATTTGGAGGGCTTTTTCCACGCCTTTTGTCCCTCTTAGGGGTTATTATGGTTTTGTTTTTATCCATAATACTTTCTATTATTTTGTCGTTGCTTTTTTTATAACCCAATGTTGTAAAAAAAAATGTTTTGCAAATACAAATAGACTGCCCTTCTTCGTTTTTCAGATAATACTTGTTTGATGACGATCTACGGGAATCTTCTCCGACAGTTTTTCTTTTTATTCCACTAGTTACAATGCAACCCATCACAAAGTTTTTTTGGTCATGTCGGTTCATCTTCCAAAACTGTTTGTTTATGTCAATTCTTCTATCATCTGTTATATTTTGTCTACATTTTTTTCTACAAGTTTCTACACATCCTTCAAGAACTTTGTGTTTTCTTTCCATCTTCTTCAGAACCTTTTCTCTCCTTTCAGTTACTGAATATTTATACTTTTTTCTTTTTCGTAAAGCTCCCTTTTTCGTGTATTCTGTTTCAATAATTTCAATATCGCTGTCACTGTCCTCGTTCTCTACTTCTCCAGCATTTAAAGGATTATCTTCATTATCACTGTCGTAAGCATTGATATCATCATCTTCAGGTTGATAATCAGGGTCGTCATCATTATTATGGTCGCTGCTCGCGCTCTTATCATTACCAGATTCGGGTCTACCATCTTCAAGCGTCGAAACCGTTTGAAAATCTGGACAATTTTCCCCTTCATTTCTTTGATTAGGTAAGTAGTCTGCTACATTGGATGCAATTTCTGTTATGTTCTCTACCACACCATCATCAACTGTGCTGTTATCCAGGACAGTGAAAAGTTCTGTATAAACAGGCTTTTCGGAGGAATTTGCTTGATCTGCTTCAAAATAGGAATGTAATTTTTTATAGAAAAATTGTTTATATAACTTACCCAAATTCGAATTATCTGCAGCCGTAATACCGTTGTTGGAAAAAAACGTAACCGGAGTAATGTCAGTTAGACAATCCATATCAATTGTAACTGGATTTTCAAGAACATTTGCATGATACAATAATACGCCTGGAGACGTTTTATTATTAGAGGGGCCTGTAGGAACTCTTCCAGAGTTTTCTTCATCCTCAGCAATATCATCTCTAACATTATTATCAAGATTATTACATTGAAAGGCAATCTCTGCATTCTGGATAATTAGTTTTGTTCGTTTTGAACCCATTCTGTGGGAAAATGTGAGGAATAAATAACTATTTATGAAAAGAAATATCTTCATTTCAGAACTTACCCTGAATTTATCATCAATTTAATTAATAGATGAACCAGGCATAAGAAACACAAAGTATCACAACACAAAACTGTTAAATCTTTTAGAGTTATTAGGTTATTATTTGATAATTTTTTTGTGTTGTTTGTTTACTCCAGCAACGACAACTAGGAGGTTACCTCCTCCTAAGTATCGTACTTCTGAAAGTCGTCAACATACTAAGGCATGTTGGCGGTGAGTATGTGTAATCTAAGGTATTCTTGGGGTAACTACAATTTACTAAGAAGTTTTAGCGGTAACTGCTGTAGATACGTCCACAATACCTTAGTATGTGTAGTTTACCGCTAAGTCCCTTATGATAGCAATAGGTATAGCTCAGATTTGTAGATACCCCTGAAAATAAATTCATATTTTCAATTAGATACTGCCGAGATACCGCTTTAATACCTTAGTAAAAGGTACATTTTAAACACTAGTTTCGTATGATAGTCAAATGTCAATTTCCCTTGAATATGTAGTTACCGCTTCTGCGCTTAGTACGGCAGTACTTGCCTCAGAGAGGATTCCATCATTACCATAATGAAGAGTGCTTAAAGTTACTTAAAACTCTCTTCAGGTAGATGTTACGGTGTAGATTTTCTAGATGCTTGAAAATTACTTAAAACCCATGCATTACATCGTCTTAATTACATTCCAAAATCCCGTTTGTAAAGTCCAGCATCGAGTTACACAATAATTATTCTTCCATTACCTAATGCCAAGCAACAATTTTTAATTAAAAAGATACGATCGCACAGACGTTTTATAAAACAATCAAGCTCTAAAACAAGAGCGACATCTCAAACATGGGAACCGTTTTAGTCGAACAATACAGGGCGTTTTAGATAAAAAAAAATTCCGCCATTATATCTTCTCTCATGCAAAATAATGAAGCGGTTACTGCATAACTATATTCTTAAGATAATAAATCATATTCGTTTTCTTGTGAGGCTTACTGCATTTTTTGACGGCGATAATAATTATATTTTTTAAATTGTTTTAAATAATGGTATTATATGGTTAATAAAACAGAAAACTGTTATTTAACACCATTAAAAACGCGGCTTGGTGGTACCGAATCTTGATGTTGAGCAAGAAGAATATCAGATGTTAACGCTTATAGTGGTACTGGTACATTATTGTATACGAAGATTAATGGATTGTTTCTTTAGATTTGATACCCCAATAATTTTTAGATAATTTTTGACTGATTGGAAGAAACTTTACGAGATCAATGAACAATTCTTGACACAGCTCATTGCGATCTAACCAAAGACAGTTTTCGTTTAAAAGTCTAGAGCCATCAGAACAAGAATATATTATTATGTTGTAAATAACAAGTTACTCTCAATTTGATGTTGGCATACAAAAGTACTTACAAGTCGACAATAATAGCAGTAAAGTTTATTTGTACTTGTATACTATATAGTTGGGGACCAAATATCCAAAATTCTTCTGAAATCCTTGAACCAACTCTTACAAACCAATTAATTATTTATATCGTTATGCTCTACATTTTTTATACTCACGGTGACAAAATGTTAAGATTTATTCTGATTTGCGGTTCGCCCATAGAAAAACTGTTCTGAAGAGAAACATAATTCAATAAAAACTGTAATCAGTTTGCTCTAAAAACCCACATGAAAATTTATTCTCAGGCTACTTAGAGGGCAATAAAAACATACATAATCCGACAATAGAATTATTAAGTCAATGCCAGCGGAATATAGCTGTAGTTCTTGTATAATATTTCTTGGAA